GATGTATACACACAAAATTCACAAATACTCGGGTCCATGTCAGAGACAAAGTTCCCTTGACTTGCAGTTGTCTTCCCAATGCCACATGTGATAGACAACATGTTCATGTTTACACCAGCTGCAGGACGGTTACCCTATGCGTAAACAGAGTACGCCGCTCGGCTTCTATCCAGCAGACAATATGTGCAAAGTCGAAAAGCTCGACGAAAACAGCACAGGGGAGGGGATGGCATTGTTGTAAGTGAGGAAACACATTTTTTAAAGCACCAGTACACAACACATAGGCCCCCGGGTGTCAGCATGAACCCCGCACCACTTAGGAGCCCAGCAATTGTTTTCTTCCCGACGGCGCCCCGGGCTGCGCGGCGCCTCCGAGTTTTGCTTGTGACGACAAAAAACTTTCTGCAATGCTGGGGTGGTGTACTAGCGGTTTAAACCGCCAGTACTTGGCGCAGCTATTGGCCGCAGAAAAAAAAAAATAGAGTAGAAATGTTTCTACTCAGATGAATGAATTTGGGCTCTCCTGTAGTGGCCCGTACGTTTCCTAAAATCGTGGCTCGTTAACTTTGACATTTGTCTCTTAAGTTAAGAGTCTTAACTTTGACCTAAGGTCTTAACTTCGACACTTTTCTCTTAAATTTGACTTAACTTCACCTGAGGTCTTAACTTTCACATTTTTCTCTTAACTTTGACCTAAGGTCACCTTTTTTTTTTTTTTTTTTTTTTTCTCCTAAGGTCACCTAAGGTCAAAGTTAAGAGAAACATGCGGGACTGGTACGACCTCCTCTCTTGGGCCTTGGCAAAACTTTGACGTAACTAGATGCCTCACCCCATGGACCAATGGAAAGGAGAGAACGAGGAAAAGGTTAGCGACGACGATACAACTACGCAAGCATCCCCACAACCGTCCCACCGTGGACTGTTGATACGAACACATGGCAGAAGAAAGTAGGTAAACTAGATCGAAAGGAAAAAAAAAAAAAAAAGGGAAAGGAGTCAAAGTGGAAAGGGGGTTTACGAAAGCACTCCTTGCACCCCTCGTCTTCTTTACACAAAATCTCACAAATCTGATTGGACACATGCACACTGTGTGGCAATGAGCATTACAACCAACAGCAGATTATCATGTGATGGTCATCACTGCTTAGTATCATCTGACACGTAACAAAACATACCATTTTCTCACAGTCCTCGTCACTTCTTGCAGTGTGCTGAGCATCACAATCTAGTCCGTATGACAAGAATCATCCAGTGTCTCGGGCAGCTCTCTGCCTTTCCCCACCTCTTTCCATTTTGAGCGTGATCGGAAACTCAAACGGCTTAGGGTGATTACACTTCAATGGACAAGATCCCGATCGCAATGGTTACGACATCCGCTGGAACACAACCATCCCAAGCTGTTCCCATTTGGATCGCAACAATAGTGGGCTTGCACTCATGACCACATAGAGAGTCACAGACGATCTGCTCACACAGACACAGAGAGAGCTGTCTCTTATACACATCTAGATGTGTATAAGAGACAGGTTTCCAGCAGGTGCTGCTCCCCACCAATAGAT